AAATTCTCTTACTTGAAATGGAATATTTTTAACGTTTAACCCATTTTCAACGCTCATTTTCAATTTTCACATCGCGTTTACGAAAAAAGTTATCAGCCTTCCCCCTTTACAGATATTGAGCCATTGGTTTGCCATCGGCTGTCGCTTGAGCATGGACTACTTGAGGATCCTTTTCTCTAACGTGCATTCTTTGGCAAAACGTCATGTTGGATGGATTTCAATAGATGTTTGAGCGTGAGTTTGGTGACTAACAGTTTTGTGAGCAATTAACGGTTGCATATTTGAAAAACTGATTGTCGTATATTGCAAAGGATGATGAGGAATGTAATTTAACATCGTGCGATTTTTAGAAGCAATGGACAACGTATTGCGCCACGAAATTTTGCGGATTATTCTGTTTTGATTTTAAATCTTAACGATATCTTCTCCGACTTGACCGCGATATCATTGTTTATCTTTACAATTTTATTCTTCAATCTGTATAGTATTTCATATTGTTCATCTATTTATTTTTATATTTCTTTTATATGTTATATTAAATTATTATTGTCACACTGAGGAGGGTCCGAAAGGAATCGAAACATTTGTATTTTTAGAATTTGGTTTTTTAAAAATTATAGATTTATGTATCACACACGTAATACCACCTGCGCTTTGCCTGGTCTTAAATAAGTCTTTCTTATTATTATTAAACAGATTTTTATCTTGAATTTTATTTTGAATGATAAATCGTTTAAAAAAACAGGCTATTTGCTACAATTAATATTGGAGGTGAATATATTGAAGCAGCTCAGATTTATATATGGTTTTTGTCATTTATAAGCGCAATTAAACTTCTTTTAAATATCTTGCAATTTGCGACGATATATTCAGGACAGAGTATTTATAAAATTCTGTTCACAATTTCATGTGTTACATAATTCAGAAGAAACCTAGAAAATATAATGAAGAAATAGAACACATGTACAAAATACACAGGCACATAAAATTGATAGAGCTATGTTTTTTTAATTTTATAGCTTTAAATGATCTTTAATCGTGAACGAATTTTATTTATAATTTCAATATGTGTATTGCGTAATGCAAAAAATTCGTTAAAGAAACAAAATTAACACATAATTGATAGAAATATTATATAGAATAAAAACAGATTAGAATATGCATGAAAGTATAAACAGATTTCTATCTTAAATTTTATTTCGAATTATAAAAAACATATAAAAAACAGGCTATTTGCTATAATTAATATTGGAGCATAGGTGAACATGTTGGAGCAGCCCAGATTTATATATAGTTTTTGTCATTTATAAGCGCAATTAAACTTCTTTTAAATATCTTGCAATTTGCGACGATATATTCAGGACAGAGTATTTATAAAATTCTGTTCACAATTTCATGTGTTATATAATTCAGAAGAAACCTAGAAAATATATTGAAGAAGTAGAACACATATGTATAAAATACACACGCACATGAAATTCATAGATCTGTGTTTTTTAAATGTTTTTATCGTTTAAATGTTTTTTAAATGTTTTTATCGTTAATTATAGGTCTTCTAAAATCAGTTTTAAATGATCTTTAATCGTGAACGAATTTTATTTATAATTTTAATATGTGTGTCACGTAATATAAAAAGAAATAAAATCAACATATAAAATTGATAGAAATATTGTATAGAATAAAAACATACATTAAAATATACCTGAAATTGTAAACAAATTTCTGTCTTGAATTTTATTTCGAATGATAAATTGTTTTAAAAGAAACAGCTATTTGTTATAATTAATTGAAGCACATAGATGAATATATTGGTACAGCTCAGATTTATATAAGGTTTTTATTCATTTATAAGCGGAATTAAGTTTCTTTTAAATATTTCTTTTAAATATTTTACAATTTGCGACGGTATATTCAGGGCAGAATATTTATAAAATTCTGTTTACAATTTTATGCATAATTCAGAAAAAACTCAGAAAATATATTAAAGAAATAAACATGCAAAATATACATGCACATGATATTATTGATGGATCTCTGTTTTGAATTTTGTCGCGATTTATAGGTCGTCTAAAATCAGCTTGAAACGACCTTTAATTCGCGATGGAATTCTATTTATAATTTCAATATGTGTGTCGCGCGATATATAGAAAATCCATTAATGCAGCAAAATTAATACACATATAAAGTTGATGCGAATATTATATAGGATAGACACATCGGAATATGCGACGCATAAAATTGTAAATATTTTGATATCTTGAATTTTATCACCAATTTTAAATCGTTAAAACAAATACAGACATACTTTAATGCGTGAGATTCAATTTTTTTATCCGAGACACAAGCGAAATTTTTCACGGATTTCCGTAACAGGTTCCTTTTTCCTGGCATTGATTATCGCGAATGAAACCGAATCGGCCGGATTCAGGATGCCAATGTCCGGTGTCCACAACCGGAAGTCAGAACAGCGACATGGGATACGACGAGCGATCGAGTTACAGTTAGCTTACGTTATATTACATCACGCTCTGGGACAAATCGTTGGATTGAAAAAAATCGTCTTAATAATTCTCGTCATTTTTTATCCTATTTTTTTATCGTCATTTGACAGATATTATCGAATGTAAAAATAATAAGATGTGATACTTTTTAATTATACGATCGAAAATTCGATTTGTAAAAATTCATTGAATAATCCCTCATCCATTTTTGATAAGAAATGGAATAAAATAACAATTAAATAAATTTTAGAAGCAAAAAGTTGAATTTTTTTTTAATTCTGAATATTTTTCCTCAAGCTTAAGTGTTATATTCTTTTTCTGCGAAACACAATAGAAAATTATTGATTAAATTATATATTCATCATATCTTGCTGGTATAAAATTATCCATCACCGGGTATGGATCCGTATCGTCTAATCTTCATTTGTTTTCCGCGCTTTTCTTTTTCTCTTCAAGTAGGCGAGAAATGATCATCGTCATGTATGTACAATTAACCTTACTTGTTTGGGCACGTTGTGTATACATCGTATTCCTGTCAAGAAAGTCGCATTCTTATTTGTAGATCTCTACGTGTGCTTGTGAACTTTCGCTCCTTCGTTGATCACACATTTTGTTTGGTCACACAATCTGAAGTAATAATTTTAATTAAAAATATACCGAATTTTGCGCTAATTTTTATAAGGAAATTGATAACGTTCGTGCAATGTTCATGATTTTAAAAAACATTGCTGCTGATTTTTTGCACAAATAACAAATAAAATTTGAAAATACTAAAGTAAAATAAATTTGAGAATCTTAAAATAGGATAAATTTATCAAAAATTTATCTTTCTAATTAAATAATTTAGTTAATTAAATTTAATTAAATAATTATATTTATTTAATTAGTTAAATAATTCATTTAAAGATAATTACTCTTTTTGTTGTTCTAATACATATTTATCTTTGATTCTTAAATTAATATACACATTTTTTATTATACACAATTTTTGTACGTGTATTTTGAGAAGTGCAGGAAACTCAGTCAGCAAATTTATGCTCAAGAAATCTTTGAATTATGCACCACCATTGTAACATGACATAATACGATAACGCAAGTTCCTTATCATCTTTAAAATGCGGTCATTCCTGGTATGCAAACTCACTCGAGTTTTCTCGTATTCGCCTCACGTGCGGTCAAATGTTACACATCGTGTTAATGATACAAAGTGTAATAAAAGAAAGAGTTGAATTAAAAGGTTCGACTTCGTTAAATATTATTACATTGTAAAATCTTCGCATACATGTTATTATTTCAATATATAATCCTTTTTAATATGTAACGTTTGATAAAATTTATATTTTAACCGATTTTAATTTTGATTAATTTTACTCAATTTTAATTTTAATTAAAAATTTATATCATTGCTGAAGTATAGAATTCTTGGAATAATCAGTCCCTTAATGCACGTATTTGTCCGGAGACATATGCATTTTTTTTCTTTTTACGATACGTACTCTTAGAAAATTCGGAATGAGAAGGAAAGACTGGGGGGTGGAAATAGTGATACAATACTTGATTCGTTGCGAAGAATTAATCGATTCCCGCAATTCCACGCTTACGTACTATGTGTGCATGGATAATCCGTTCCGCAAAGTTCCGCAAATAGGGAAACGTGATTAATCGAGATTTGCTCGGACATGCTTTTTTTCCCGAATCCGCAGACGAGGCGCGCATACCTCGGATTATCCGAATTCAGAGACACGTCGACTCGTGATTTCCCGTAGGAAAATTCTATGGGATTTTCTCGAATTTTCGAGGATTTATCCGAGGGCGGAATGAAACGAGAGAGGAATTGAATATAATGCATTAAGAAAACCCCTGATCGCCTAGCATGATCTTCCTCTGTCAACAGAGAGCAATCGGTAATAATCAGCCTTCATTTGCAACGATTGTACATAAATGAACTGATTATATAAAGTAACCACCCCCTGATGGTACTTACTAGGAGAGAGCACCTGATTATACTGATAGTACTCTGATAGTACTTTATTTTCTCTCATGTTATTATATTGTTTACTCTTATATTATATTATATTTATTTATTTACTCTTATATTATATTATATTATATTTATATCTTATATTCTCTTATATTATTATATTATTTACTTTTATATTATTATATTATTATATTATTTATTACATTATTACAGGTTTATTTAGGGATTTTCTCGGGGTAAAATTAGTAGGAAATCAGAATCTTGATTTATTTATTTTGCTTTATTTAAATTTTGTAAATTCGAACCCCAGGTCCAAATGAAAAAAAAAAACGAGGATAAGATTTAGCATAGCGCTTCGCCAACCGTAAAAATCAAACCCAGCCAAAATCACTTTCCCCTTCTCTCGTATCGATCCCGACTCGCGTATCAATCCCTATCCCCCCCTCTATCTCTCCTCCTCTCTCACCCTTCAGAACGCACACGAATTAACGTGCCCTCGTTCTGTTCTCGCATTGCAGGTACAAAGCGAATCGTTGCGTGAGCGGGGGTGGTAGCCGCGGAAACGGGGCGACTGGCGGTACCGGAGGCGGTTCAGGTAGCGCAGGCGGCCGCGGCAGCGGCGGGGGTGGTAGCCCCGGCAGGGGCGTCGGCGGCGCCGGCTGCGGCGGAGGAGGAGGAGGAGGAGGAGGCGGCGGCGGCGGCGGGGGCGGCGGGGGAGGAATAGACGGTGGCGTGGTGCCTGCCGCACCACCGGCTACCGGCCATCATCATCATCACCATCACCATCATCATCACCTCAGCACCACGACTACCACGACTACCACCACGACTACCACCTGCGGCAACAGACATCACAGGCACAAACTGCCTGCCAGCAAGCAGTGCACCGAACACCGTCACCATCCCCATCACCACCGGCATCACCCACACCATCGCTCCCACCACCGGGGCATGAACATGGGCCAAAAGATTTCAGGTCAGGCGACATTTACCAAAATCCCGCGGTCGAACATGACAATCTGATGAAGGATAAATAATTTTCTTTCTAGTTAAGGGATAGAATTGCTAACAATTTTAATGTTTTCTCTTTTCAATATGTAAATTGCAGCGATTAATTTTTCCAATTATCGTTTATGAAGAGGTTTTATCAAACATTTTTATTTTAATATTAAATTGTAAAATTCTTCAATGAAGGAGAAATTTGAAGGAAAATTTTAAGATTAAAGAGAATGATAAAAGAAAGAAATAAGATAAAATCTAAAAGAGGAGATAAATTATTCCCAACAAAGGAATTATTCAAAGTCAAAATCTTTAATTTTTCTAAATTTCTAAAATTATTTTTGAACATGATCACTTTTACATATTTTTCTAATGTGGCTTCAAAATGTTATCATTTAAGTTAGTAAAATTAATTTAAAATAAGATTTAATAGCCATTTATTTTAGCAAAGTAACTGAAAAATGTTGCTGAAGCCATCGATAGAATTTGCGTGGTTCTTAGTAAAGATGCAGCATCTTATGAAACATGCAAAAAAATACACGAAAAAAAGATCTTTTTGAAAAAAACATTGCCATAAGAAAATTTAAAAAGATATTACAAACATGTAATTAAACTCAGATATATAGGTCATATTAGAATCTGCAACATTATTCAACTTTTTACTGATCGGCTGAGTTTTTTTATTATTAAAAAAATATTATTATTATTAAAATATGTCGGAATCAGTCGAAAATATTGAAAATTTCAATGTCATAGTTTGTAAATATCACATGTAAAGTGCATTTTATTTGATCACGATTTTTTTATTTTCATTAAAACCAGAATCCAGACTTTATAACTTGACATTTCTATTCAGATTAAACGAATGAAAAAACAGGCTAAATATTGTATTAATATTTTTATCTTTTGTAAATATTTTTTTATAAAATCTCTTATAAATTTATTTTTTATGAAATTATTAAAATTATTACTTTGTAAAATTATTAATTATAAATAACGATTTTTCATTATTATTCGTTTAATCTGGATCTTCCAACCACGAATTATTCATAAATATTAAAAACAATAAATGAAAATAATGAGGGCCAGATTGAAAAAGGAGAAAAAAATTAAAAACAAAATATCTTTCTCATTCGTCTTAAAGGGAGACGAAGATTTTAGGAACTTTCGAAGAGAGAATCTGTATACCAGAGATCTCTCAACTTCTTACTTTACTAAATGTCGCTATTTTTTTGCTCTTGCTTACATTTCTAAGTCTAATCTTCTACAAGCTCTTACATATCTTATGTCTACGATCATAATTAATTTCTGTAAACTCTATACATATATAAAGTGCGCTTCCAACATTTGGATTGCTTTCTAAAGCATCCTCTCCGCATCAGGCAACTTTTCCCTTACATAAATCACAAACATACATACATTATACATACATTCTTTGACATTATATTATTATATGTCACAATGCGTGATAGATTCCACTCATAAACGGATCGAAGCTTGTGTGTATGTGTGTGCGCGAAGCTAGAAGATTCTTCGGATTAACTCGCCTCGTTCATCGAGGGTCAAGGTCCTTGACCTCGCCTCATTTTACCTGTTCAGGTAGAGCTTGGAACAGGTCCTTTACGCGGGATACCTCGCTCCCTCAAATTAGACACCACGAGGCTTTCTCTTAGCGTGCTTTTCAAAATTTCGTACTCTGTCTCGCACAATCTTATTTACATTTTTATAAATATTTAATACACTGACAAAAGATCATTAGCTATAAAAGATAATTGAGAGATGAAGAGATATTTTTGCCGTTCTCTCTGTTTAAAATAACCTGCGCGATAAAAGGTAATACTATCTACATCTCCCATGATGTAACGAAACTAGTTATTTTAACGCGTGATAAATATTTATTGGATTCATGCGCGCAATAATTATGCACAAAATTATACAAGCAAACGTTTTCGCTCTTTTTACATATGAAGATAATTGAAACAGAAATACCGTCTGTCAATTAAATAATTTTGCTTTTTATGCTGTTGTTCCTTTCCAAGATTTGATTTATATTCTTCACGAGACGCCTCCATCATCGAAACTCATTCGTCACACCAGACGCATAGACTTAGGACTTAAACTTGAAGAATTTATTTTGCCTCAACGGTTCCATCCGGTTTCGTAAGAAGCCCGTTGAAGTCGACTGGATGTCGTCATCGATTTATAAATGCGACTTTAGACGGAGCCGTTGAGGCGTCGTAACTGAACATAGGATAAAGAAAATCATAAAAGGAAGTAATTTAAAAATATTTGATAATCAAGGAAATAAAGGAAATAAGGATAATAAAGGGAAAAGAAGTCGCGATTCCATCTAAAGGCGCAATCGATGAAAGATTCCCTCTCTTCGTTTCGTCATACGACCATTATTCGAATTGTCCATCCTTAATTTTTCATACGTCAGATTACATCGTCGGGGCTCGGCGCCTCCGCGAAGTAATGACCGAAGTAATGACCAGCTAATTACTCACCGCGTACGATTCTCATTAAGAGACTCACGGATCCGCGGACAATATTCCCGTTCCAAGGATAAACCGTTCTGGCATGTAACGAGGTCCTTTCGGGGTCTTTTGTCTCTTCTTTCTCGCCTCTCCTGCCTCGGAAATTCGAAATTCAGGTCAATGAAACTTGTTTTTCTTCCTGCGAAGAAATTTCCCTACCTCCGGGTTTGCACCTGTTTTTCCCTTCTTCCCCAAATTTCTCCGACTTTCCTGAAAACACGAAATAACAAGTATTCATATTTACGAGGGGGCTTCGATTTATCGTAAAGCGTGACCGATTCCACGGCTCAGCTGCGACCGTGAAATTTATGATCTGAGACCGCATTGTGCACAGCACGAATTGAAACAACCTGAAACGCTAAAGGCGACGACGAAAGGGAAGGCGAAAGGGAAGGAAAGGAAAAAATGGATCTCGGGATGCGGATCTGGTCGGGCTCGGGTCTTGCGCACGTGAAAGGGCCCTTTTCTCTATCGGTGCCCTTTGGATGCCTTTTCAGGCACGAACGACCCTTTGAGACCTTCGCTCCTCCGGAATCCTAGGAGCCCTCGAGACACGAGCGAACAGCTGTCGGGGCAAATAAACCGAGGATATCGTCCGGGTCAGTCGAAACCCTCGAGAAACTCGCATCGCCGGACCCGCCATTATTTTTCTCGATCCTTGCCCTCTTCCCCCATCTCCCTCGTAGGACGTTTACCTCGTTGCTAAATTTTCTGATTCATCGCAGGTATCCAACGTACCGTCCCGCAGACGATATCTGAATCTCGAATGAGTATCTATCGAGGAGATGCCTGCATTATTTTCGTCCAATATCGGTACCACGATATATATTGTCATTTTTCATATGTCGGAAAAAGTATTAATTCTCCCCTCGAATCTATCAGCAACGTATCCTTCGAAATGCGGTCTATTGGAATAATTCTTTTCGTGTATCCAATTTTTATACTTGATATGACAGATAAAAATAAAAGGTTTTTTAATGTCTTTTTTGAATGCAATATTTTCATCAAATTTTTCTAAAATTTTTTAAATTAAATACGAGATAATGAAAATGTTTTTTAAATTAAATACGAGATAATGATGTAAGAGGGGATATTTTAAGTATTATTTAAGTACTATTTATTTTTGAATATTATTATTAATAAATTTTTAAATATTATTGTTGTTATTAAATATTATTTAAATACTGTTTATTTTTAAATATTCCATTATTAAATTATGAGTTTTTATTTCTTGGATAGAAATACTTAGAGATATCTTTTAAAAAAAACGTGTTTTAACAAAATCGCCATCCGAAATACTGTACACATAGCGAACAATAAATCACAGTTGACAATCAAAGAAAAATGAAAGATTCTTTTAGTACAAAAATAAGATGGAATTGTGAATTTTTTTATATTTATCGAGATAATTTTTCGAGAAATGTATAGTTGAAAATCCATCGAACACGTATGACTTGATCTCTAAATAAAAATTTATTATTTCTATTGTAAACTCACACAGATACATACAGATTAGCTTAAATCAATAACCGATATATATATATCGATGTATTTTTTTTATTATCGCATTGTTTCCGTTTCCCGAGATAAAGCATGATTAAAAGCAAATAACTGAAGCGGGCTAGTAAAATTGTAAAAATTGATAAAAGTCAAATCATTTGTTAAGAACAATATTTACAAACAGTGAGATAAAAATAATAACTCGTAAAGCGATGAAGCCTTATATCGCGTGTTTTCGAAAGTTACACAAAAATATTTTGTCATACGTTCTCGATTCGTCTTCGGGATAAGAAGAATCGCCTTCTTCTCCATCTGTGTATTATTTTTTTCTACAAACATTTCGAAGCAGCAAGAATATTCCAAGGAAAGCGTGATCGTATTATCATATTATCATTTATTTCCTAGATAAACATGAAAAATCTGGGATTATCAGTGACTTCTTTTGTACTTGGAAAAAAAGGGAATTTTTGTGGAATTTTATTGGGATTCAGGAAATTTTTTTTAAAATTTTCTCTAATTTTTTTCTTATATTGCAAACAATCAGCAAGTCAAACTATTTATTTGAAATCTATTTTTATACATATTCAATCAGTCTTGACAAAATATTAAATATGTAGTACATACTCTTTGTTGTAATTTTTAATGATGAAAAGAGTAAAAATTTTATACCAATGAAAAATGTGCTCATAAAAGTTGTACCTCCCTATATTTTTTTTAGGTTTTCACAAGGTTACACAAAAATAATCTTTAAAATATTCCCCTAAAAATAACGGGGAAAGAATTTTTTACAAGATTTGTGTAGACATCCTAACTATATATCTTGATAAAGCGGACGTATCTCGACCAGCAAGTTTGCATTAGGTAACTAGGGTAACTTGGGCTGTAGCAGCTCTTATGACAAAGGGGATGGATGAAGAATAATGATGCTGGGCTCGGACGAGGCCAGTAGGCCATCGTAGATGCAATCGTCCACTGATTCAATTTTTTCTTCACCTCCACAGGCGGCGTGAAGAGCATGAGCCGGGAGAGCGGTGCCGGAGCCGGCGGAGGGGTCGGCGTCGGCGGTGGCAACAACACGACGTACACGCGGTCGGTGGTGCCTCGCGAGCTGGCGCAGGACTTTGCGAGACCGGCGCGTCTCGATGTACTCCTCGACATGCCGCCTGCCTCGCGAGACACCCAGGTTCATCATAGCTGGAATGCCGACGATCGTAGCCTAAATATATTCGTCAAGGTAGGCTAGCTAAGGGCTAGCAAGGTAGCTAGGGGTAGACAGATTCCTTAAGAGTACCAAAAGTTGGGAGTGGTAATACTTTTGATGATTTTATGGAGAAAAGTTTATGTATTATCTTCGTCTGGAAGATTTTAATCCTGGAGATGCAGGATGTTCAATAGAACAATCATATTTTTTCTCGAAGACAGTTTCAATTATTTTCTTGAAATTTATTTAGTTATTAGTGAACTAATTTGTAGCGATTGGAGGATTCTGGTATCATCAATCTAGTAAATCGGGGGTCTGTCAAAAATAAAAATTAATTCCTTAGTCATTATAAATTAACGTATTGGAAATTTCAAGAGAAAGATTGGAACCATCCATCCTCGAGATTAGGAAAAAGTATAATTTTTTTATTGACCACCTTGGAAGCCATTTACGGCAAAAGTGTATAAACTTTTGTTCATAAAATCATCTAAGAAATTGCCTTTTTAATCTTTAAAAAATAGTTAAGGACTTGTGTATTTAAATAGAATAGATTTTTTGATTAATTACAACTCGTTAATCATAAAAAACATCAGTCTTAAGTCTAGCAGTATAAAAAAATGGATGAATTTTTGGAATTTTTTTGAAGAATATTAAAAATTAATTATATGTAAGAGGCCAAAAAGACAATTTTTAATAACTCTTGAAGAAAAAATCCCTAAAAATCATATTTCTCTAGATTGGGCTCTTAAAGGCTCTTAAAAATATGCTTCTGAAGGCAACTTTTTCCTAATTCGATTCCATTATTCTTCGTAGGAGGACGACAAATTGACGTTTCATCGACACCCCGTAGCACAGAGCACAGATTGCATACGAGGGAAAGTAGGATATACTAAGGGAATGCACGTATGGGAGCTTTATTGGAGCACGAGGCAACGAGGTACGCACGCGGTGGTAGGAGTCGCCACGGCGGACGCGCCTTTACATAGTGTTGGCTACCAGAGTCTAGTGGGCAACAACGAACTTAGTTGGGGTTGGGATCTCGGTAGGAACAAACTCTATCACGACTCGAGAAATAACAATGGTGTAACGTATCCGGCGCTCCTCAAGCCCGACGAAACATTCATTGTTCCTGACAAGTTTCTGGGTAAGCAATTATTCCCGTATAATTGCACGAGATTTTTATTATACGATTTATACTAGAAAATATATATTATACTTCATAATATACTATAATAATATATAATAATATATAATAATATACTATAATAATATATAATAATATATAGTATAATATACACGTTTTATTCTTCACAGTGGTCCTCGATATGGACGAAGGTACATTAGCATTCGTAGTGGATGGTCAGTATCTCGGAATAGCCTTTAGAGGGCTCAAAGGAAGGAAATTGCACCCTATCGTATCTGCCGTGTGGGGACATTGCGAGATCACAATGAAATACATCGGCGGACTAGATCGTAAGCAAACGATTTGTAAAAGTAGCAGTGATTCTCAAATATTTAATATTCTTTTATAGAAAGATATTTAAAACTTTGAAAGCTAGATATCTTCTTGAACATTTATCTAGTCGATACCCGCTAATATAGTAACACTACTTACATTTGATCGCGCACGGAAAAGATTTCTCTTTTTAGTTAGACATTTATTTCTTTTCACAGCCGAGCCTCTGCCTCTAATGGATCTTTGTCGAAGAGTGATTCGACAGCGAATTGGCAAGCATAGGCTAGAGGACAAAATCAACGAGCTAAATCTGCCGCAGACGATGAAGACTTATCTCCTCTACCGAGACAGAAGGTAACCACCGAGTGAATCTCTTCAAGAATCTGCCACCACGATTATGACTGCGAACATCACCGTGTTGCAACGTTGTCACTACGACGCAACCGTCCGCTATCCCGTCGCATGCCACCAAGGACAGCAAGCTCTTAGCCGCGCGTCTCCGTTATTAATTAAGCGCTCGACGATCAACAAACTGGCATGGGTCATGCGACAACGCGCCGAGACACGCCTAGTACCTCGAGAAGGCACGCTAAAACAGCGACGCCGACATATACTGATAACAACTCGTGGCGCTCTCATCAGGACAAGTCACGAGGACCGTAATCCTCATCGTCGTTATTGTCATCGTCGATGAGCTCTCACCTCGATACAATTGGCAAACAGAAGGAAAGGAAGCGGCTTTAAAAGGAAACATATTTCTGAATTTAGGGCGATACTGTTGTCTTTTATGTCGTGTACACAGTTCTATATTGCGATAGAATTAAATATATTTATTGATTATTAGAATTATTCCGAGAAGCGGGGCGGTTTCAGTGACTTTCGCATGGGCAAATGCGACAAGTGTGCGCATGTTGTACGATCTTTTTCTTCAGTATCCACCTTATTGACGATACACGTATGAATGCTGATAAAGATAGAATCGCAATAGCGCAATTTATGAGAATTCGGAGACGCGCGGTTAGAGAAGAAAGACGAAAGGTTATTAAGAAAATACGAAGAGACTACAAGCACTGTACAGTTGGCCAGTAACAAAAATTAGACTTAATCAAGCCTGGAGGCTGATAGGAACGCGTCGTTTGTTTATAACACGGATTGATGGACAGAGGATAGCGGGTTTGCTTTAGTTCGGCCGCAGCAGAAGGAGTGGAGCAAGAAAAAAAGTTGGAGAGAAAGGATACACGACGGAAGGAGATATGAAAATTTTTCTACGATGAGGATACTCAGCGAAAAATGTGAACTCTGATCGCACGATTAACGTGGAACGATTAATTCAATTTGGACAAGTGTGTATAGTGATGGATATATTGCAGTCACCTTCCAATAGACTCATTTTTCAAGTATTTTCTAAGCATGCTAGGTCTAATAAAGTATAGTGATGTGTGCGTGTATCGTGGATGGATATAAAAGGAAAAGGACGACGAAAAAAAAAAAGAAATACAGAGAAGAAGGAGAATAAAAGTATAACCCTGCCATAATCTTTTCTTTAGCAGTGTTCGAAATGTAGACATTACAAATGCGAATTCTGCGAGGGAGGAAATCCTAGTGATGGAACGCGATGAGATAGAGGGTAAGCATCTGAAACTCGCGCTGTGGTGAATCGAAGATTAAATAAAAGACGTCTCTAAATAAACTAAATAACAAAAAAAGCATGTTACTAAAAATTAATTATCTACACACATCTAATTGATTTTAATGCGCTATAATGACTTGCGGAAAATAGTACGTATTTAACTAATATTTAAGAGAGAAGCGAGTGAACACGGGCATTGGCACAAATTATTCCAAACGCGAATCGAAAAAAAAAACTGTCATGGGGAGGGCCGCTATGTAGTTAAATATAATCCGATGAGAAATGAAAAAGTTATACGCGATAGTATAACGCGATTATATCGGATTATACTTGTCACGGATTATTCGTCATAACGATCATAATAGTTACAATGACGATAACGACGATGCTGATTATATCGGGTGTGTAACTATTATACTATTAGCATGACAAATCTTGACTGGTCTCTAGTATCTCTTTAATTCTTATGTTTGTCGCTTAGATTAAAGACAATGCCACCCGTCATCGGCTACGTCGATTTGTATACAGATATATATATATATACATATATATATACATATATATATATGTATATATTATTAATATTGTGCGACGTACGAGTGTATTGTGGATGACGATTATATCCGTAACTGCGGAGCAGGCAGACCGAATGCGAGAGTGATATATTATAATATCCTTCGCTACGTCGCGTAAGCGAAGCAATCATCTCACTCGGTATAAATTTTTGTTTCCTAATTTAACGGTTCGCGAAGTTATCATTATCTTGATTTTCAATATCATCAATGTGTTTGCAACCTCTTGGCGCTTGAGCTCGTCCGAGACTCGGATCGCGTCTTCCAAATTATCATCAACACTACCTAAGCTTCGTTAAAGACATCGCCGATTATCTTTCCCTCTTTGAATGTCCACCGCGCTCGCTCTACGAAATTTCTAATAATCGTCGAAAGCGACCTGTCTGCGAGAGGCGGCCAACCGATCGATCCCACGACAATTTTCAAAGCGCGCAAGATCTCGCACTCGGGAGCTCCGATCGCACAGCTCTGCGATCCTCAAATACGCACTGCATCCGGAAGTGTAGTCTATCAGTGTATGTAGTTTGCCTTCGCTACCTACGTGGAGGAGGAAAAATCCGATGCGCGAATCTGCGACGCGAACGGATCGAATGACGAACAAAGCGTGCGAAGATAGCTCGATGTATCTGCTCGAGGGACTTGTTGTCTCCCCGCAGTTCTCCGAAGCAGTCGGAGATGATGAATAATTAGGATGAAAACGAAAGGCGTTTTCTCCCGCTCTTATGTACGAAAGTAAACACGAATCCAAGTAAAGTAGAGTACGAGAGAAAATATACTCGAGAATGTGGAAAAGCGAGATTTTTCCCGCAAGAGTATATACCTTACTGCTACTCGTTTGAAACCGATACTGTTTTATATGAATTATTGCCTATAGGGACGCATGTCACAAACCAAGTATGAGAGAGAACAAATAGGATGAGAACATTGTACAAAATTATTATTAATGATCAATATTAATATTATTACTGTAATAACGAGTTTCCCAATAGTTTAATTAATTGCTCGGTCGTCATTATCGTGTTAATCGAGTATTTACAATATATAATTTGTGTATTCTGTTTTTCTCTACGAAAGAAAGATAGGAAAAAAGATAGGGATTTGTGTGCGATCGATCGCTAAGGCAATTCGAAGAAAGGAAAGAAAGAGAAAATTTTCTTCCATCATTCATTGGCCTTGATTTCTCGGAACGCATGATGAAAATAAGTGTGATATTAATTGATTTTAATTGGTGATTTCAAAATAATGATTCACGTAATTAGTACAAACAATGAAATGGATTGAAATATTGTATCTTATCACCACAATTTTGATTCAGGTACAAAAATTTAATAGCAATCCACTTAGGTGTAAGAAAATTAATTCGCAATTTTTTTGTTTTCTTTTTTTTAATATATCTTAATCGTTTTCAATTAAGATTTAATTTTTGACGAGAATAAAATTATATATGCACAATATATGTGTATCATATATTTTATTTCAATTATATATATGTATATTTTTCAATGATGTATATTTTTTAAAATAATAGAGACTAATAGATTATTTTAAAATAAAAACGTCACGCCTTTGTTTGTGCTATTTCAAGCACTTTGTTTCATTAATGAGTGTTATTCATTAGTCGAAAATCTCTTCGAAAGTTATTAAGTTTAATTGGAATGTATTATATATTCTTTATAAATATATATAGCAATTAGTTTTTTTTTTATTTTTTGGAAAGTTATTTTGGAAAGTTATATGTTTCATTTGTTCTTAAGATAATCATTTATGATTTGATATGATTACAAATATCACATCTCCAAAAAACGGCGAAATAAACGGAACGAATGAAATTACTTTATTTTTAAGAAACATATAATTTATATAAAAGAATTAAATGATTAAACCAGCCGAAAATATGCATTTTAATTTAGCGGTATGATTTTCTTTTGTATATAGAGAGACAAAATTTTTGTACGATATATATTTTCCTAATTTTGTTTCTTTACCTATCTACATCGATCGATCGCACATAAGATTAATTGCAAGACAAATTTTAATAACGATGCTGCGAGAGCATCCGATTCGTTCACATGCGTCGTGGAAAGTGTTTCAACAAAAATTCGCGTGGCCGTCGCGAGAATTAATTTCCGCGAGCTGCCTGCCCACTCTACCCTTGCAAACTACGTTGCCTCGACAAATGTGTCTAATTTATTGATGATGCGCTATATAATGCGACGATAACTAGCAAGTTATTAGTTTAAACTGGCACGACAATTAGTTTAATTGAATACGCTAGTAATCTAACAGCAAGATATGTGAGAAAGGCAAAGAAAATGGGTACGTGTGTATGTGTGTATGTATGTGTGTGTATGAGAGAGAAACGTGTGAATGAGCGTCCGTGTACGTGGCATGTATGCATATTGCGTGCGTGAGTGTGTTTCTGGATATACTTGATATCCACGATTAATTTTTCCTTCCGCTCTTTCGTTCGCAAGTTGTTATTGCTTTAATTTCGAATTTTATCGTATATATATACATATACATATATATATATATATATATATGTATATATATATATATATATTATTATGTGTGTGTATATATATATGTATGTATGTATGTATATGTTAGATAGTCTAGAAATCAATTTCGATTCTCATGGTAATAATTCAATATTTGCTGTAGAATACACTATTGTTTCATAATATGTAACAACATTTAATATTAGCAGCGGGAATAAATATGAACAGAAAAGATTTTCGTAGGAATTATTATCTTATAAATAAATAATTATATATGTATTTAATGCACAAAACTGCTCTGAAACTGTAAACTTCAATTTAATTAAATATTCAGTCAGAGATTAATTGATTATTCGAGATGTCCAACTCAGTTTTCATATATATGTATATGTATGTGTATATATATATATACACATATACATATACATATATATATATATTTATATATATATATACCATATACATATGCATATATACATTGTGTGTATATGTATATATACATATATATTAGATAGAAGTCTCTTAAAAAATCTTGAGAAATAATTAAATCTTTAAAAAGTTAAATCGAATCTTTTTGTGCCATATTTATTTATATCACAATTATTTTTCGGAACAGAAGAAAACTAATCCGTCAAAATTTTAAATATGTGTTGTAAAACTTGAAAATATTGATGGTTGTACCGAACATCTACGAAGTTTTTCAATTTTTTCGGAGATATGTTTTTTTGAACATTGACTTTTCGGACGATTTTTATCAAATTGCCGAGAATTCATAAATGATAGAAAGTTCCTCCTTTGCTACCCTTTAAATAAAATATTAATACTTTTCTTTAAAGCATCAATATTTTATAATAATACGAGAATGATTACAATTACTTTGTGAATAGATTGTATATTTTGTAAATAACTTATAAATTTTCATTTTTTTATAAGTAAGAAAATTTCGATTTTTTTAAATTAGTACAATAATTTGACAATTATCTTTTTATTTAGGATTCACATATGTTTTTTTCTAATATCAAAAATAAAATTAAAATTTTATTTGAAATAAAAATTTGAAAAAAAATTTATTTGAAATATGTTAACGAAAAATAAATAAAAAAAGTGATTGAAATAAAAATACATTTTATCATAAGTATAATACATTTTTATCATATATATCATTTTAGCATATATATTATATAATAGGTAGAAAATAAAATTTTATGTATCAAAAACTCTATATATGATAAAATTATTTTGCAATTTCACAGTTCCATTTTTCCATTTATTTCTTATAAAATATTTTAATAAAGCACACATCTTATATCTAGAATTTGGTGGATTATAGAGGATATTATAGAGAACTATATACTCGAAACTATTTACGCGAAATTCTACGCAAATAATTGCGGAAATATAAAACGTGAAGAAAAAATTTGATATGTATAATGATATATATTTGCTTCTTTTTGTGAATCAAATAATCTCATCATGCATTTTTGTATTGATCGATAGTAATAGAGATGATATTAATTAATTTGATTATTTATATTATCAACATTACTTTCGATAACATAGGAAATGAATATCGAAATTTGAAATTGTTTGAAATTGTTTGATTTACATGTATTTTATTATCAGCAAACTTTTTTTAATCAAGATATATAGTTTTCGAAAATTCGGCGTTCTTTCAAACGTGTAGAATATGTAACTATATTCTTTACATAAAAACATGGCCTTATTTCTCTAGTCATTTTCTACGCAGAAAAAATATTAAAGTAAAGTTAATAAAAATAAAAATAAAAATTATAAAAATGTTTAAAGAGAGATTTGTAAGATATTTCCTATTTTATATTTCAATTTAAAAATTTAAATTATTTTATATTTTGACAAAGAATAATAAGATATCTCGTAAGCGTAAGATTCATTTCGTGATTTTATTCTAATTCTTTTCTCTCAAATATCATATGTCATTAATATAAAAAAAATCAACATATAAATAATTAACTTATAAACTACAACTTATCATTTAATACTTTAATTATTATTATTATTAATACTTATGTATATTATTATTCAACAATTTAACGAAAGATTATTTGATATTTTAAAATAAGCAAAATAATAGCAACACATTGATACTTTAATAATGATAATAATTAATTATAATTTTTTTTGTTACATAATTACAAGAATGCTTCTGAGATTATCAATAAATAATTCACATGTCTGATTTTAGTTATTGATTAAATTTTATGATTTTTTCGGATTTTATTTATATCTTTGATTACTTCGGGAAGCCACTGAGCAACAGAGATCGCATTCACGCACATACACATATACAGCATCTTCCTCGAGAAGGTCACGTGTTTGTCGATACGATTGATTTTCATGCTCGAAGGCTGAGACAAAGGGATTCATGGTGGTTCCGTGAAAATGAAGTGCCTACAGTGATTGTCATATATAGGAGTCCTTGATAAAACACTATTTACAGAATCTGCCATTTAACGAAGTCGCTCGTGCACTTGTTAGCTCGTACCTCTTTATCTTAAGCGACCTACATTCGATGTGCTTTACTACCATCTTAAACGTAGATAAGACCTGTTTTCTTAGTTTAAATTCTAAAATGTCAGTCATTAATTTTTCAGAAAGTGGGTAACATTACGTGAATTGTGATCATAGTTAAATATTTGTGATTATAATTCGGATAGAATGGAGCTACATCGAAAGAGAGGGAAGAAATAATTTAATATTTCGGACATGATAAAAAAATTCAATTCGGATATAAAATAAAAGTATTTCCAAAGTTAATCGTCTCCCGAAGTTTTGATGCGTTTAATCGGGCAAATTAATGGCATCGTCACTGGCTGCACACTTTTCATATATTGCCTACATATTTGTTTTATTATTACATTATCATTACTATTATTTCTTGGACATTGTCAGAATCATTCTGATGATTTTCGAATTTCGACAGAACGCCTCATGACAGAGCATTGCACCTTCACAGATCGTCGCATCTCATATTTTTTCGTTATTATTAATACTATTTCTATCTTTTTGCCCCTATTAAATTTTAAATATTATTTTTACATTTTACTACTTTAATTTTAAATTTACTTTATTGATTGTGTATTAATACTACGTTTTTTTTATATTTTTGTAATTTTTTCTTATATTATTAAATTAGGGGAAATTCAACTGAGATCGATAACGATCCGAAAAATTGCCGCTATTTTTCTTGAAGTTATTAATAAAAATACGAAAGTTGCCGGGAATACAGTCAAAATTAGCTAAATTAAATGTAATTATTTATTTTATCGCTCATATGAAACCTTAATTAGCGCGATATTCTTTCCAGAATTATCAGAGTTTAAATTAGTTTCTTAAGTTTATATCTCTAAATTATATATGCATAAAATAATAAAATAAGTAAAAATCTTATACACACACAGAAATTAATTTTTATGTTATCTTTTCTATAAAATCTCGATTCTTTATCAAGGTATTTAAAAAAAGGGCATTTCGTCATTTACGATTTTGTATGAATTTTCGACAAATTCAATCTTTGAAAAAGTCAATGTTTAAAAAAAAGTAAAAATCTCCGAAAATATTATGCATTTAAACGAGAAAAAGTCGGATAAACAAGTTTGGTACGAAATGAAAAGCACATCTACTCGTTGATTAATGAAGTCTATTCTTACGCAGAGGAGAATTAATTATTTAGCATGAGAAATCGAAATTTATTTCTGGGCAAACGTAATTCTCGCGTAAAATCAACTCTTGGCTGAACGTGACACAATACGTGATTCAATGATCCTCTCTCCAATTTGCGTTTTAATCATCTCGAGCGTACTTGATACTGAACGTACTAATTAACATCGCGGATCAAATATTGGATCATTTGCCTCACGGCTCGATTTCATTGTATTTTAAAACAATCAGTCGTCATGTGCTGAAAAAGCAAGGTTCAACACATCGCTGAACAGTTTAGGTTCAAATCTCTTAGATTTAATTATAAGATTTTTTTTGTAAATTTCTCTCTTCGAATTTTTCTTACGGCGAGAAAACGAAAGCGATGGAATTCGTCGTCGACTATCAAGATCACTTCGGGTCAGCTGCGTAAATATATGTATCTATATCGTACGTTCTGTTGCTTTTGTGTTTTCAAGGCAGTGGGCCTATTCTCTGCGAACAAAAATGCAATGTAAAAATTTGAAAAATGAGAATAAAAGTTTGAGAAAAAAAAGACACCGAAAATTGAGATAAAATATGTAAAACGAAAATGTAAAGCCTGTTATAGATAATAATCCAATTTTATACTAAATGACTCTTGTGCGAAATTGAAAGGAATGTGTGGAGAAAACTCGGCGAGACTACTCGAGAAATAAAAACGAAATTAACTAGAAGCCAATTTTCGAGTCGGCTGCTGGATAAACGTCACGTGCGGACAATTGAGAGAATCTTTCGAAATTTTTTTCGTGCGCGTAAAAGAGAGAAAGAAAGAAAAAAAGTTTTTAATCGGACTAACATGTGTGAGAGCAAAAAATGGACGTCGAGGAAACACCCACGTGATCTGAAGAACCCTCGAGATTTTTTACAAGGAAGAACTTCAATACATTCAGGTATTATTCTGTCAGTTACAATCTCTATTTCTCGTGGTTGTTGTATGATGTAATTTTCACCCGATGTGAATTTCATCTTCATTTTTCCGGGCATTTTTGAAATGGGAATTTGAAGAGAATCGAAATCCTTATAATTGTCAAGTGATTACGCGCACTTTTCTCTTTTATCATCCGCGAGCTGGCTCGAATTGGTTCTTCCATTGGTTATTTATATATCGCAGAGTGTCTTTCGAGGAATGCTTTTCTCTATTGCAGAAACAAACTCGATTCGAGTCGTATATTATGTTATAACGCATGTGTTAAATAAGAATACAAAATTTTGCAGATTTTCAATTTTTCTAACGCGAAGTTAGTGAAATTAAGGGTATCCCAGACTTAGGCCCGATTACACCAACGTTATTTTAGCTTTAAGCGAGACTTAAATATATATCTATCTTTACCTTTCTTTCTAAATAAATAAAGACAGACATATATTTAAGTTTCGCTTAAAGCTAAAATAACGTTGATGCAACTAGGCCTTAATGAATCAGCCGTTAATGGTAGATTCCTGAGATCATTTAGAGACGAAAATCTTAATACCAAAATGTTGAGGAAGATGTTGAGGAGGCTGATTCGTTAGGTCTGGGACACCCTGTATATTATAAAATATATTAAAATTTTGTTTCGCCTTTTTTTCCTTAATAATTATAACGCATGCGTTAAATAAAGTGTTATGGTAAATAGGTCTGCTCTGGGCTGCATTCCAAGATTCCACTCACGATCGATCAGCTGTTGCAGAAACAGAGCGAACTGATTTAAGCAGATTTGTCATGAGAAGTAGTAGAGAAGCGTAATGAGGAATTGAAACTGCGTCTCGTATATGGATGCTCGAAATAGCGTGATTTGCATTTTACAATTCTAATTGGACGTGATCTAAAGTAAGACTAGAAAGAGGGGGTTTGAGGGAAATGATATTCTCCACCGATCCATCTCAAAAGCGGGGATCGTGAGAGTCGCCTTTGATTGCGCTCTACCTAGGTTTTTTTTTCCACCCTCCCACCCACACACGCGATACATATTTACTGCTTTCGTCTCGAGAGAAACGAAACGCGGGTCTTCTACCTTAGGGGTAGAGTAGGGTTTTGGAATACAACCCTGGACTATTTTACTGAACTTATTATGCGAGTGATCTCACGTCTATTTAAATGTAAGTTTTACGCGTCCAGCGTATTATGACACATTAGCGTATCATATAACTGACATCTAAACTGAGATACAAAACTTATAAGTATATAATGCCTTAATGTTAATGATAATATCGGAAGCGTTATTGTATAATTAGCTGACAAGGGAGGGGCGATACTTGTGGGGGAAGGAAACCAGGCCAACACACAAAATGCCGAAGACGCGATCGATGTCTCCATTTTGTTCGCGATATTTGATATTTTCTTATAATTCCAATAAAATGAGAGTGAGAGAGAGAGAGAGAGGGAGAGAAAGGAAGAGTGTGTAAGTGAAGTGTGTCCCATAGCGAATTGCTATCTAAAATAGTTCAAGCTAGATGTCGATGTTTGTAGCAGATAAAGAACAAAATGCATCGCAGCATATTGTAATTAAAAAAATTAAAAAGTCATTAATATCACCGGTTTTTTTATTCACCCACGCTTCTGTGATGTATAATACAATTCTGTCATATGTATATAGTACAACATATAATATATTACAAGGAACATACACTTCCAGCAAACACCAAATAACAGTTATATAACGGTTATATAACATGTAACAGTGATATTGTTTAGTGGGAAATTACAACTAACAATTATATAAATGTTACTTGGTGTCTGCTGGGTTGCTAAGAACGTGTATCAATTAATTAATGTTGATATTACTTGTCTTCTTGTCTACAGGAGAAAAGAGAAGTACAACTATTAATTTTTCAATATTATTAATTTTCCCATTTCTCGATATAAAACGAGAGACACGTGTAATTTAATTTAGAACAAACATTGCGAAGATTTTATACGAAAGGCGGAAATAATATATAAATAAATACTATTTTATAGCTCTTTTGATGCTTAACGAATTGAATTAAATTCATCATGATCTTTAGCGCCTGGTAAGACATTGCTCGAAACCTTACGTATTTTTCTTGTCACTGGAGTGTCGCAATCTCTATAAAGTACATCACAATCGTCACCCCGAATTCCTGCTGCACCTGCATCCCTCACGAGACGATCCCAACCTGAGGGTGACTTGAATGATTTCTCTATATCCCTCCTACACGAAAAATCATGACGTAAATTTTCAACAAATCGAGATAGATATGCAGTATATTTTGATCAAATGTCTTTTCTTGAATGCAATGACATAATTAAAATTTTTTTGTTAATATTTATTATTTTTTTCCTTTGGTATTTAAGTTTTTTTCCAAACTCGCGATGCAACGAACGATGTTGAAAAAAAGACAAAGAAAAAAAAACACGTAAAACAGCGTCCAACTTACGTCAAGTGCTTCGCCAACATTTTGCCTGGCGCACCCAAATCCCTGAAGAGCTTGCGGTTCTCAAGACAGATCGTCCTTTGTATGCATCGTACTCTAGCATCGTTATTAAGAATCTCCTCCTCTTCCGGGGTCTGAAAGTTCATGGAAAGTCTTACTTTAATCTACCGTTGACGCGCGAAAATTTTTGCCGAGTGGTCTGGAATTGATGATTTATCCTAGCAATTTTGCCCAGCCAGTAGGAGCGAGATGTTTCATCACGGTGAGTAAACTTTGAAATCTCCAGGCAAATTTGTCCAGCTATTCTCGCGATCGAATTAGATTCAGAGAATCGTGTCGAGGTTTGTAACTCTTTTCATTTTTAAATTTAACAACCTCTTTTTTTTCAGAATTTCTAAAATTCTCTCTAAAATTATTCGATAGAAATTTCCCATTCATGATATATTTATTACATATATTTATTACATTATTTTAGAGAAAATATATTCTCGCAGAAATGAATTTAACTGATTAATTTCTTATGCGAGGGAGTTTTTCTTTTTTAAAAATTGACAATATTAATTAATAAAGCCCTATTAAATTCTTAAACAATTCTTATCGAATGTAAATTGATAACATCAAAAATGACGTGTACCACTGAACGAAAATCACGCGTAGTGTAGACATCCCTCTTTTGCCTGGATGACAACAGGTCCATTATCGCATCCTTTTGCTTGGCGGAGTTAAATGTGTTTTGTATAATCGCCAAAAGCAATAGGAGACCAATGAAACTGACTACAACAAGCTGCTTTGATGAAGGGACCATCGAAATGGAGTGGTCCATCGAGTGCGCCACTGGATATCCAATGTTAGGATACTCATATCCGTATGGCATGTTTTCGCTTCTATGGTGCGGAAATGTTCGTTGAGGCACTGAAACATTTTTTTTAAAGCATATCCTGTAGATGAGACGTCGAGAATATGAAGAAACCAATTTTAAAAGTTATAGACATATTTATCTAACATAATTATAATATTACATGTTAAATCAATAGAACAAAAAGAAAGAGAAACTGATTATTTTTCGTCATTTAAAATGAATATTAATACATATGTCAAAATAAAAAAGGAGATTTTTGCAAAAAATTATATACATATTTAAATTTTGATATCAAATTCGTGACTTAAAAATTCTTTAAATTTTAATTACGATTAAATTTAAATTTAAATTACGATTTAAATTATTTAGCAGATTAATTTATAATTTCTTTACAAAAGATCCCATATAAGGGCAAAAATACAACATACATAACTTTGACTGCAACAAAACTTTTCTAACACATGCTATAATTATAATATGATAAAATACATGAAAATATAATTTTCTTTTGTAATTTCAATTGTGATGGAGCGATTTGGTAGTCTCAGAATTAATATAGTGTAAAAAAATACAGGAAGTGATTTCTCTCTTTTTTGAAAAAAAAAGGTAATTATTGCACTTTTATCAAATTTAATATTTTAACTTCCATGACAACATTCCCCAAATCACGTCATAATTTTTTTCGGTCGATTCATTCCGGACAATCGCGTATGCTCGTCACGAATCAAATGGCACGAATTTGTGCCACTTCCCCGAGAGAATAAGCTCCAATCTCCCAAGAAAGCGCAGACAAACGTTGCGCTCGAAACGCACGTTATTTTCCTCGCGTCTATAAACAGTACGAACAACACACTCCAATTCCAAAATGATGTCCCGGCTTTGTGGCGCTAACGCGACGACCGAAGCGCGACACGTTGTGCTTGATTATAGCCTCGCACAAAGGATAAGTGATCAAACGACACCGTCTTAGCGTAACTAAAATAGAAAAATCTTTACTGGGGAAAAAGTAATCCGAGGGCAGCATCGGCTGCGGCTGCGGCGGCACGATGAGGGTCGTAGGGACTGGCCGCGTCATCATATCCGGTTGATGGGCCGGCTCGATCTTGCCCCCCATCTCCAAAGACGTGGCGTTTCCGTTGGACGGGAACATCACCAGGGTTTTCGTATCCTCGGCGGCGATTGAGACCGCGAGAGCGACACCGAATAACACCGGAAGTATCATCGTCACCCTCTCGCTCGAGACGACAGCAGCCTGCGACTCGTCCTTCGAGTCGCGAATCGACCTTTTATCCGGGAGAGAGAGTCTCCAGAGAGTGTAGAAACGCGTCGTCGGGATCCACTAAGTCTGTGCAAAATGACGAGTAAATGGAAATGAGGTCTAAACAAGGTAAGGGGTATCCGAGCGAATTCTTTTTTCGTGACCGCATCAAATTCGACACAGTCGAGACAACGAAAAAAATACGAACGGACGATTTCGAAAGAAATTGTCGACCAGAATGATCATTCGGCCCGTTGAACTGCCTGATGAGTTTACGGAGGCGCAATGAGCTAATACACCTCGTTCTATTGTGCCAGCAAGATTTGCAGAAATTGCTCTGTTTTTTATTGTCGAGAAAATAGCTCGCAATTGAGTGGATATTTTTAGGATTCTGAGGCCATTCGCGGAGAGATTTCTCGATTTATTAGAATTCTTGTTTATTTTTCTTCAAAAAATACAATTAGAGAGAAAATTGATTAATACTGAAATTTAGCGATGTTATTTCGACTTAATATGATTATTGATGACAGTAATTGATCATTTTTAGCAGAGACATTGAAATCTTTTATTTTACTCAGTATATACTTTTTAAAAAAACACTGATCAATATTTTCGAGTAAAGAATATATTTTTCTTTATTCAAAATATATTGTAGAAATACTTCCCATATTTCGTTTGACAACTCAACGTTTATATCTCATTAAATCCATAAAGATATCTTCGCGTCCTGAATTCATTTGCCTCGGAAAAGCGATGTGACCGTAAGATTATTAAATCCTTTCGCGATGTTTTCACTGAGCGTGCAATACAATCTTTATCCCCTGCAATACAATCTTTATCCCCAATTTCTATTTGAATAATTTCGAGAAACTTGAATGCTCTGATCGACAACATTTTGTAGCGATTATGAGAAATCCAGAAATGACGAGGAAAAAAATTTTGACCTCGTTGTGAAATGGATGATGGAACTTTCGTGTCAATTTACTATTAAATTTTTGAAGCTGCCCTTGCTACAATTTGCAACTTAAAATGCTGTAAAATATTAGAAGAAAAAAAAAGAGAAAGAGAGAGAGAGAGAGAGAATGTGTGGAACTATGTTGCATACAGATATTTCAGCAAGGGAGAGGCGACATGAAGGGTAGTTCGGTTGGTTTGGCTAGCTACTAGAATGCAAGGGGTTGCTATGGCGATGGGACAGCAGAAGGTGGGGTGAAGGGAACTTGGAAGGGTTTGTCTGTCTGCAGCCCTTCTAAAGGGGATGACGTCCTTCGTTCTGTCTATAGTTTCTGTTAGTATCATCATTCGTCAGATGTAACGCGACTTTAAATGTCCATAAGCAATGTCCTTCTTACATCTGTTTTATCCCACATTTGGCCTCCAATAAAAATATTATATATAAATACAAATTGACATGTCACAATTGACCATTAATTGACATAACAATGCTCTTGCTCTTGTAATTGCATTGCAATATTTATAAGGTGAATTACTGAATGTCTTTATTTTTTCCAAAAATTGTGGCCAAAAATTTTTGCAATTTATTCATGATAAAAGAATCCTCGAATTTATTACATAATAAAAGAAACTAAATAACCTGCGCTTTGTAATGTTCTAGTTATTTCAGATTAATGTAATTATTAATAAGAATTGAAAATATCTTTAAAAGATGTTTTTTTTTACAAATGAACATCTAAAACAGACGGATTTTCCATTATCCTTTTATAGTTCAGTTAATTCTCTAAATAATACAAAAGATAATAATTCACGCCCCAGGTATCTCGTACCACCCACTTATACTTGTCCACCACCGCAACACATGTAGCACTTTGTTCATTATTCACACCCACAAAGATCTTCGTCTTGCTCGCTCGTGAAAGGAGCTTAGTTTTTTTTAACTGTTAGAAAAGGCAAAAAATAATTACGGTGTTGAACATTACGTGAAAGCAACATAAATGCAATTTGCAACAATCTTAAAGATCAAAAATACGATTGTAGGATAAATAATAAGTTATTAAAAAAACTTAAAAAGGAAAAGTATTTTATAGAAATAGAATTAAAAAGTATCATGTTTCTTTTTGAATTTATACTACTTTATAAATTTCTTAATAATTTCTTATTTATAAGATTTTTTATAAGATTATTTATCTATCTATTTTTTTTTATTCTATATACAAAGTATTTTGATATAAAATATTTTGATAAAAGTTAAAGAGGCAAATTTTCGGAAACGTCTTGTAAATTCATGTTATAAGTTCATGTTTTTGTTAATTCATCTTGCAACAGTTATTAGAATACATAAGTTTACCATTGACTTGAATAATTTATGCGATTTTTTGTGTTATATTTTCTCTCTCTCTCTCTCTCTCTCTTTCTTTTTCTTTCTCTGTCTTTCTCGTCTTTCTCGCACAGTCTATCGTCATTTCATTACGGATGACAAAAGGCGTTCTTTTTTTTTTCAGAGTCGACGAACATCGCGGCTACATATCGGGGTCACATCGATGGACACGCCGCGTGAACGAGCCGCGATTTTACGCCAACGCGACGCGAGTGAACATTATATTTTTAGCCCGCTTTTGCACCGCCGACTGATACCTGCTACTTTTTTATCAGCATTCAATAGCGCTTCTTCTCTCCCTTTTTCTCTCTCTTTCTCTCTCTCTCTCTTTCTCTGCCTCCTCGGAGCGGCAATCAGAGAGGTTCGTCACGCTCCATTATCCGCTCCGGAGCGACGCCCGACGCTGATTTTACACGTTTACAGCCTCTCTTCAGGGCTACGCGCACCTGGATAGAGGGATAACGAGAACGCCGTCGCACGGTCGATTAATTATAGAAAAATTGTGAACAAATAAGGTAAATGTAAGTAGGACATATGGGACATTATTGATTGCCTCGCTCCGATAAGTGAACAACTCTTTCGAATATTTCGATATTCATAGTGAACGTCATCAAAAATTTGCGACTGTGATTTACTGTACAATTTCGAAGGATGTTGAGTCTCGCGAGTCTTTGTTTATTTTTTTCGAGGCAACACTTGTTAGAAACAAAATCCCCTTTCTCTCACGTCATTAGCATGAAATCTTGGCACTTAAAAAATTTAAAGAATAATTTAGTTTAACAGTATAGTTTATTATAAATGTATTTATTGTTGAAAAAACGCATATATTTTTTTTCTTTTGGAAAGATGTGGACCTGATATGTTTAATCGACCGTATCCCGTCTGATCGTATATAGATTCTACTACTGCGTGCAATACGCAACTTTGATTCAGAGAAAATGCTTTCTCAAAATCTAATTTCGAATTAATTAATAAAACAGGGAAATTTTCCTTCTTGAATTTATTTTTAGATATTTAACCGATATGAAAAAGATGCAATAACAATTAATCAGACACTTGCAAACACAAATCAGAATTTGTAACTTGACGTAAAAAATAAATCACGAATCATATCCAGAATCCTGTTGACTCTTGAATGAGAAATGACTCGACATTAATGGGACGCGTACAACCTAAAATTGTCTAGCCATAATTCAGGAATAGAACATCATCGAGGATCCATTCGGGTCAGGTGACTTGGGAAATCCCTTAAAGCCGAGAGATCTCGGCGGTTCCTTCTTCTCCCGCTGGAATCCATATCCCCAACTTCGAGATGAACCTCTCTAATTTTTCATCCCTCCCTGCCTCCGATGTGTTTCAAGTTAATGCAATTTTATATGCACTCCTTCACATGTATAATTTTGTCTTTTATTTTTAATGGAATTTAATACATAGCACAGCCGAGAGAGGTATGTGCTCGCGATCGAATTAATGAAATGAAATGCAAATTAAATCTAAATGATATGCAAATTTACTCACCAACGAAAATATACGGACGTGAGTTTGTACTTGCATTTTTTTGATTAATGTTGCACGGGATACCGAGGGAAACTTGCTTTTTATCGGTCATTAAACATCCACGATATTGTAGGTGTCTGTGAGGGTGAAAAAATTCCCTTAAGTATATTAAAATGTTTTTCAGAGAATATGACATATGGCGAATCGGAGAATCATAGCTTAACAAGAATTCCATTTTTCGACATGAGCGAAAATAATATCCTCCTCATCATCAGGCATATTTTAAATCCAAGAACAAATCGATATACTCTCACAATATCCCTTGCATGTCCAAAGATTTATCTTTTAATAAATACTCTTCCAACTCCGCCATCTTCCTCTTTAGCGGTCAGGAATGGACCTTCATAATGAATCCTCGTTATTGATCGCTACTAAATTGAGAGAAAGACATACACACGTCGCTACAGGCAAGCCTCAACCTATTTAATTCCTGCATAACTCAATCTGATTATCACGTACAGAGGCTTATTAATTAAAAGTAATAGTAATTTAATAATTAAAGATAAAATCTTCTTGTTTTCTTCATGTTTTTTATTTATTACACGGTATCACTAGTATTCTTTTTTTTTGTTACGCATAATTATGTTAACTACAATATTATAATAATTTAAAATTATTATAATAATGATAATTTAATTATTATAATTTAAATAATTTAAAATGATAATAATTAAAAAATATTATAACAAAATTTTATTTATAAATTAAAATATTATTTTTTACTTAAAAGTGTTATCTTTACCCGGTCATTAGGTCAATTTTAAACGATGCAATTGAGTTTATTCAAAATAGTGAGTTTCGAGATGCTTGAATAAATCAAAATTTCAGAATCCAACTTTTTAATCCTTATTTTGGACAAAGAATTATGCATATATCTTCTGAGAATAATAAATTGCGCTTTAAAAATATAACGTAATAAATCAGTGAATTAAAGTTGCGTTTAATGGTTTGGATTTTATACACATGTATATTCTTTTTTCAATTAAAAAATTTTATTATTAATTATAATAATAATTTTTATTATTTATTTTATCGATTAATTAATTTTGCAAAATTCTTCTTGATTTAGAGAATTTTTATATATATTTATATACATGAAAAATTTTAAATCCAAGAAGAGAATAAATTAAGAATTTTCGTACATCGATACTGATTCTTTGCTATTGTGAAGAAATCCAAGGAATTTATTTCCGATTCATCCCCACGCGAAAGCAATGGAAATCGTGACCTTCCCCAATAGTCTCGCGCATTCACGAGCGCGATGCACAATGCGACATTATTATTATGCGTTTCCACGCCGCATACGGTGGTAAAATCGCTTGTACATCCGACTTGTGCTTTCACGAGTGGTGTCCTGTCAGGCCTCGGAGCCACACGTGCGCATTTCCACCTGCCCGCGTCGCCACCCCTATTCATCGCCCTTCGAGGCTGCAACTACGCTGACCTTGTTCCAGCTTCCAAGAAAAGCAGGTTACGTGAAATTTTTATCCCCTCCCGGAAAGCATGGCCTGATTACAGGTCTATACCTCTAAAATATCCATTAATCGGTCGTTACTTTATTTAAGATTTCTCTCCGATGAAATTTATATTAATTATATTTTATATATATTCTTTATTTGAAAATGAAAGATCTTAGCAAGGTACATCTCCCAAGTTCCATATGTAATATAGAAGAAAATTGTGCAACCTGTAAAGAATTATTGTTTATCTTAAAATGCATCTGAGAAAGAAACTTGCATATATGCGATATCTCGACGAAACACATACAAACTCTCTCGCGTGTATAAATTCTGATATACTGTTTATAAATAGTTTATCGAGGACAGAGATTTTATATATTGGCATTTTTATATATATTTTATACAAAAATAGCTAACGTGACCTCAAAGAGCTGTTTTAAATCAAAATATTTCTGTTTTTATAATTTTTCAATTATCTTACTCATTTAATTATGGCACAAATTCAGAGAAACTTATAATGCTCGGGAAATAAAAGTAATGAGTCATAATTATTAACATTGCTCATTACAGGGAATTTATTGCATTTTATTGGATTTCATGCGGCTTTGTTGCGGCATTATTTTCCACTTTTCAATATTCGTGACACAGTTTTTTTCGTTCATATATATATAATAATGCAATTTTTGCATAATATGTTTTCGTTAAAAACTACATAAACTTCATACAAATTATTTATTTTTATACTGTAATGAATTTAAGAATTGAAATATATCAACGTTCTTAAAAATAGTCGATAATTTATATCTAAGATTTTTATTTTTATTATCAATAGAAAATATTGATATGAAATATGACAAACGTTTTGGTTTCTTTTTAATGTCGAACATAAACAAATAATTAAACAGAACAAAAATTAATTATGATAAGACTGTAGATTCTAGATAAAAATAGACAGACACATACAATTACTTACAAAGGTTGCTATTATAAGCAGGTATAGTTCAAACATTTATCTTTTGATTGAAAACAAAGATTGAGGAATCGAATGTTATTTCTCTAATATTTACGTACTGCTTTCTACAAAATGGAAAATTTCGCTTTTTAAATCGTTGAAAGTAAAAAAGGTCATAATTGTAGTTTATTCAATTTTGTTTCATGGACATATATTTTTAAAACATCTCGAGAAAATGCGATAAAAGAAAAATCGCTTTTTTAAGTCGAAAAAACTTTTCTTTTAAAAGCAACAATTCAAGTAACACTTAAAGTATACAAGACAATAATTTATATATGTGGAGATACAGAAACTTTTTATGTTTATGTAAGAGAAAGCTAGATATCATTACTTTTAAGAAAGGTTATTTAGATATCCTTATTTTTAAAAAGGATCACTTAAATTTCATTAAAAATAATATACGTATCATGTCTAAATATCTAGCTTTATCTTACATAAAGATAAAAGTAATGATATCTAAATGACTTTATTCTAAAACGCATCTTCATTTAAATTTCACTTTTCCATTTATTTTGTAGAAAAATATATTCCCTTCTATATTTTTAAATACATCCTTTCGAGATTTTCAATTTTTCGGGTTTAAAAAAGAAAATAAATTCTTTTATTTCATTTTCTTGAAGCTTAATTTTTTAAAAGTGTGTTACTAAAATATTTCCATGAAATATAAAGAATTTAAGACGTTTTACTTCATCAAAAATCTTTATCACACAGATAGAAATAACGCTCTCGACAATTCTTTTTCTCGGAAAAATTAAATATTTGAACTACATGTGACCATAAATCAATCTTTGTAAGCATTTTTATGCTTCCAAACTGTGTTTCGAAGACAGAATATTTTCGAATAATTGCAGAGAGGTTCTCTATGCTCTATGCAGTATCATTTGAGTGCCAAAAGATGGAAAGAAAACATATGTTAGTTGGAAAAAGATTTTACAGCAACAGATTTACTGCTCAGAATGATATTCAATATATATCATATATTACACGTGCATACAAATAAAACTATAGAGAAATTCTAGAAATGAAAAAGATGAATATTTTGCTCCTTTCTTAACAATTAATCATTTTGCCAAGTAAAAATTTATTACAGGCGTTTGTTAAGAGCAAACGTACAAACAATAACTAAAATTTTAACGTTGCTCCTAAACATTTACATTATAAAACGAATAAAATAGTTAGAAACTTGGCTATTTATATTTTCAATGAGTAGTATCGATGTATCAAAGTAATGTCTATAAAATGAGAATCGCACAGACAAAAGCATATGCTAATGTAAGAAATATCGAGCGCTTCGAGAAAAGACGACGAACGTTTAACGTTGAAAAAAGACATAATAACCCATAGCAGCTATTCAACAAAAAATATTTCAAAAAGTAAAGTTTGCAAATGGCTTTATGACCATAGTAAATTAACAGTAAGAATTAAAATATTTAAAAACAACAAAAGAAAAATATTAAAATAAAAATAATATAAAAATTAATATAAAATATTTAATTTGGCTTATAATCTTAATGTATCAAACGTGTTTCTCAAAAAATCCTTTTCCAGAGTTTTTCGATTTATAAGACTTCGCTTTTTCATAATCATTTCATAAAAATGTGAAAAATTGAAATTTTAACTTTGTAATATTTCTATTGATTTCCATGATATATTTTTTGCTACAGTTTGAGATTGACAATTATATTTACATAAATTAAAAATTTATTTCTTTTAGTAAGATTTTTTGTTTCAAAATTATTTAAACTTGAGAAGAAAATTTTTTTAGACAACATGTATGTGTTTTTACTTAAAGAAAAATAGCAATATTTTTATTCTAAAAATTTATACTACACTTGTTAAATCAACAAATATGTAGATATGAAAAATGTAAAGGTATCAAGTGGCGCAATAATATTTTATAAAGAAGATTTTTAGAAATAGAAATCGCTGCCCCTCCCAAGAAAAAACTTAAAAAATGTCTGATAATGACATATGCATAAATATATATCGCATACTTGGCAATTTGGCTCGAGATTTTTCTAACGATTTAAAAAAAAGAAAGTTTCATGATGAAAATGCAATTCCATCGCATTTCGCACACTCGTTCGTCGCCTCGAAATTCTCCAGGCTGTTTTACCATTTTATCCACGCGATTTTGCAGAAAGGATATTCATTTCGTTTTGTACACGAACTTGAGAGCGAGTTTCAATATTTACTTGCCCGCCGCGTTTATTTACGTCGGCGCGCGTCCCACTTTCATTCATTTTCCCGCGTCCTGCGGAAAATCTCGACCTACGTTCACGACTCGTCGGTGAAGCCCCTCCTGGAAAATCTCTCCGGCGGAGGCGACTAGCGGTCGGTTCAGTCTCGACCTGTCCTCCCGGGGGTTCTCCAGGGAGGGTTACGACGGAGAGAGAAGTTTGGGCGTATACACAGTGGTACACACGCGAAAATCACCCTTCCTTCTCACCCTTCGCGACACAGCCTCGTCCACCACCCTCTCTTATTCTCCGTGTCCCTCCGTCCTTCTCGTTCCCTTTCCGTCTCCGACGCCCTTTTCGTCTCACCTCCGCGATGCGCTCCCACTCGATCGCCCTTAGCGCACCCTTCCACGCTCCTTCTCGCACCCATCCCGTCTCTTTCTCTCTCTCTTTCTCCTTCGTGGACGCTACTCGTCCGTTTCCACCCCCGACCATCGACGTTCCGCGTTTATCGAACCATTGCGCGCGCACGGATAACAGTAACGGGGCGTGCTACGTCTTGGTTGGCCGTAGACGTAGGTGGTGGACGCACGGCCGACCGACGACGACGAGAACGACGGCGGCGACGTCGACGTCGTCGAGGACGAGCGCAGCAGATTGTCAGCGAAACTCGCCGCGCGACCAAGAAGAAGAAAAGTTCTGTCTTCAGTGCCATCAGTCGTTCTCGCTACGTTCTCGAGAAAGCGCGCGCGTTGTGCCACAACATTCGCAGAGTCCGTCGTGTAGAGTCTACATCCACATCACTCGAGGGGATCCTACTTGAGTGCAACTCCGGAGGTGACCTCGAAGATCGCAGCGATACGCGAAATCGAGAGCGAGCACGAAAAAGAAGAGAGAAACGGAGAGATAGGCAAGGAGGAGCTGGATATCGATACGATTTTGGATTCTGGTGTCGAGTCTCCAGAGAGTACCTCTGTACCTCTACACCTCCGCGCTGGTCCAATTGCGTGACCGAAAGAGTGCGGAAAGAGTGCATCGAGAGTGTTCAGAGAGAGAGAGAGAGAGAGAGAGAGAGGGAGAGAAAAAGGAAGTGCAACTCGGGAGGGTGTCGCGAATAGGCACAACACGCGGAGGGTCAAGAATCAGGGTATGAAATAGGGTGACTCGGTGCGTCGCTCCAGTGTTTTCGTTCACCTGGCTCATCCACCCTCCGAGAGGCGGAGGGCGGTAAAGCATCGATCGCTCGCCATTTTGCGCGACGGCCGACATCTTTTGCGCGCATCGACGACATCTTGCCGCGTGACATCTTGAGCGATACGAAAGGTACAGCGGCTGCGGACTTATTACGTCAAGAGACAGGATATTTCTGTGCCCCTTTCACAAGTACGTCTGGTTGTACGTTCATCGATTGCCGTCAACGACCATCATTATTACTTGTAACGCTCTCCCGTCGCGGAGAGGGTGCGTTATCGCGAAATCTCGCATAGTTCGGAGGCAGGAAGAGACGAGGTTTGGCGAAGAAAGGGGAAATAAATCCGTGCCTGACATCGCGGGAGGAAGGAAAAGTAGTGTCCTTCAAGTCGAAGGTAGAAATCAGCAGGCTGGGAGGTCGGTTGAGCGAGGTGGTGGGTCCCGTCGTGGAGGAGGCCATCGAGCCAGGGGATGCGACCCCGCTGACGGGACCCTCGAGGGAGTCCTCGGTTCCTCGAGCACCCCCGCCACCGCCGCAGCGTGTCACCACACCGAGTCCGCCGAGACCGCCGCCCACTACGTCTCAGCATCATCAGAATCCGTGTCACCCGGCCCACAATCCGGGACACCAAAATCCCGGACATCGTAACCCGGGCCACTCGCCCAATCCGGGCAATCCCGGCCACAATCCTGGTAACAACCCCGGTCACCAGACCCACAATCCGGACAATCCCGGACACAATCCGGGCAATCCCGGACACAATCCGGGCAATCCGGGCAATCCCGGTCACAACCCAGGCAATCCCGGCCACAATCCGGGCAATCCCGGACACAATCCGGGCAATCCTGGTCACAACCCAGACAATCCCGGCCACAATCCGGGCAATCCCACCCACAATCCGGGCAATCCCGGCCACAATCCGGGCAATCCCGGCCACAATCCGGGCAATCCCGGTCACAATCCGGGCAACCCGGGTCACAATCCCGGTAATCCAGGCCACAATCCTCAACAGAATCCTACTGGCCAACCGACACAGAATCCCAGCCAACCGACCAGTCCGGGACGAGAGGCCCAGAATCCTCAACCGGGTCAGAACGTGAGTCGCCAGCCGCAACAGAGCAGAGATCAGGCCGCGCAGCCGACAAGTCAACAGCCGCAGCAAGCGCAACAGCAGCCACCGCATCTGGAGCACCGTAGCAGCAGTATGGGGACCGTATTGTCGTTCAGTCCGCGGGACCGTCGCGGGTCCGTTTACCCGCCGGCGGGTCATCCCGCCGACTTTACGCTGAACAACTTCAATTACGAGCAGCTCAACAACGCGAAGAATCGCGAGAACAAGAGCAGCGTTGCTACGGTGGCGCCGGCGCCGCCCACGAATCATCCGCCGACCAACAACAACTCGTTGCAAAACAACAATATTAATCTCAACAACAACGATAACGCAAGGATCATCTCGGAAAAGAATGCATTGGAGAAGAATCTCAAGAAGCATTCGCTATTCATAAACGCCTTGTCGTGGAAACGGTTCAGCACGACCAACAATAACAAGAAGAAGCTCGACAACAAGAACAAGAACATCTCCTTCAGGCAGCCGCTCGATAACATACCTATCGTTGATAAGAATAAAAATATACAGACGCCACAGGTGAGTACTTTTGTGGATGCAACAAACTCTTTCTATTCTGATATCTCTTTTATGAATTGGCATATTTAATAAGTGTGCTACGCGTCAAAAAAAATAAATAGAATAAATAGAATAAATAAATAGAAACAAATTTTTTATAATGATCTTCATATTTTGATATTTTGCAAATTGAAATATATAAGTAAGAATTAGATCAAAAATATCTAATATTTATAAATATCTAATTTATAAAATTAGATATTTATTTAATTAGATATTTATTTAATTAGATATTTATTAAATTATATTTATAAGTACAAGGAAATATTTTAATGTTGTTTTTTTTTCGCGAAAGAATATTTGATATATTTGTCAATAATTTAATCTCTCAATTACACTCATTTATTTATGCATAATTAAAAATTGGAATACTCCAAAAAATTGCAGAGATTATCAAGAGGTTTCGATTGCATTAAAATCTTTTAAATAATGATTTATTTATTAAAATTTTTATACATAATAATAATGGTAATGTCATGTAATAAAAAGAAAAGCGTAAGCGTTACAAGATATTGGGGGGGGAAGGGCTTTTGTTAGAAATAAATGTACAATTAGAATCGTAAATTTCTTTGTTGTGTCTAGAGAAATATTGAGAGAGATTTATAGCGAGGGCAATAAAATATACAACAACGTACTTTGACCTCAGACACGATCGAAAGTGCATCGATCGTTTCGATGTTTTCTCTCGCGTGGCACGTTACAGTTTTTCTCCTTACAAAGTTTCACCCTCTCGCTAACAGTTTCTGGTTCTAGAAACAAGGGTGCTTCCAAGCATTAAATATGATAGTTAACGTATATTCAATATTCAGTCAGTTTTTAGCTCTTTGTAACATTTAATAAGGAACGGCTATAAAATATACATAATAAATTCTCTATTAAAATACCTTGTTATTTATGTATTCCATTAAAAGTTGCACGAATGTATTGAAAAATTATCACATTACATACACGTGAAATATGTACAGTGTGTGCGTGTTTAATATTAATATTATAAAAATTATTAATATATTGTTAACATATTAAATTGCATGTATGATTCACTTATCGAAATTTGATGTGCGATATCAAAACCGAAACAAATTTACATCAATTTTAACAAATCCGCCATCCACAAATTTACAAGGCACATATTAAACGTAAAATAAAATTGAAAACCTTACCTTAAAAATAATTGTTTCATTGATGTATAAAATTAAGAGAACTGTTTATTAAGAGATAATTTTCGTTTTGGTTCAACTAGACAAAACCACCGGCGTCAAACAACAATCATACCACGCACAATCCGACGTGTGAGAAACTGGTGCAGAAACCCCTGCCCCCCGGGCCAAGGAAAACCGTCATCCAAGCCTCCACCTCGGAATTGCTCAAGTGCCTCGGCGTCTTCCTGCACAAGAAATGCACCCGTTTAAGAGACTTCCAAGCCGGCGATGCTGTCATGTGGCTTAGGACCGTTGACAGAAATCTCCTGCTTCAAGGCTGGCAGGTGAGTCATAATTCGCCATTTAATACATTTTTATTATTTAATCATCTAATTTGACAGACCAAGAGTTTGTACCAAAAAGAGAATTATTATTTATATGAGATCATCTTTGATATGTTTATTTAATGGATCAAACGTTTCATTTGTGAATAACTTTTTATATTAAAAATATTATATTAAGAACCAGTTGATATAGTAATCTTATATTTCTTCTTTCTATAAAAAAAAAAAACTTCCGTTCGACAGCACATATTTTCATTTACCAGCTAGTTAGCTGTTCCGCGAATATATTCGTCACTAATACAATTATCACGAGCTCCAGTTTGACGTCATTGATAATTAAGATGCACCGACAGCATGAGGAGCAATTGATTCTTGTTGATTGCACTGATATTGAAATATAATCATCGAACGCGAGTAAAAATCTTGAGAATGACATTAATAAAGATTTGTATTTCGATTGAAAAGAAAAGAATCGAGTAAAGATTGAAATTTACCGTGATTTTCAAAACTGTCATTCAAAGTATCACGAACACATACATCTCTGACGTTAAACTCCAAAAATGACAGCTTTGAATTCAAAATGCATGTTACTCCAACCCTTTCATTGAGAATAATGGCATGCAAATCACGGATATTCTGAAAGGCAACCGCGATCCAATTAAAAAATACGAATATTTGTCTCCGATGCGTTAAAAGGTTTCGTTTCCCTTAAGAGACTATCATTACGAACGGGATGATGAGATCCGCACGTGTCACGAAGGAAAGGGCTTCTTCCACTGAATACACGCGGATAGTATCCCGCGGGAATACGCAGTAGCGCATAATAAGAGTCACTTAGGGCATGTTAGTCGCAATATGTCACGGGGGGAATTAGGCTATAACTTTTCACGAACTTCCATCTGGATGAACTGTCTGTGGTTGACATGCATCAGAGGAGAAGGTATTGAATTTCAATATTGCATTGTGATTGAGTTTTTCTGTATAAAGTTAAAAGCGCGTGTAAAAATTTTTATTATTTTATTATTATAATATTTTATTATTATTTTTATTATTTTATTATTTTATTATTTTTCCTCGACACATCACTGAGTACAAGATATCTTCCTCCCTAAAAGGAAACTTTTACAAAGGAAGTTTCTCTCGAAATTATTTTTCTTTTCTCCTAAAAAGGTATAGTCCTAAAAAGGTATAGTCGCGATTTCTTCTCAAAGATAAAGAAATTATGTGGATACATGTCAAAATTCCTCTGTTCGAGATTTCTTATTTTTTCTTATTTTTCGTCCTTCAATCTTAATTTTACTTGATAAGTTCCATAGCTTCCAATAAAATGGTATTTTTCCTTGAAAAAACGATAAATTATTAATTATGTAGATACATGTCAAAATTTCTCTGTTCGAGATTTCTTATTGTTTTCTTATTTTTCGTCCTTCAATCTTAGTCTTACTTGGCAAGTTTCATAGCTTCCAATAAAATGGTGTTTTTTTCGTAAAAAAACGAATCAATCGAACGAAGTCCATTCGCGGTCTCAGTCGGTGCCAGTTCTTGATTCGATTATGAATTTAACGTTTATGCTAATGAGACTATCGTGCGCACGATTACACGACCTATGCAAATTGCACGGTCCCTAAGACTCGCCTTCTCTCCGCGTAGAAGCTATCGATCAAACTAAAAATATTTCACTCCGATAGTCAACTGACGTAGATGGCCGCCGACTTAAAAATACTATCAAACTATTAATAATACAATGCAAAAATCTACGTTGTTTATCTACTTTGTGTCTGCGTCTTTATGCACGATACATATTCATTTTTGTCATAAAAGCTCAATTATTTCTGACGAATGTCGTAAATGAAAAATGTAAACGTTTCTTTTTACTTCAAAAAATATATACATAAACATCAATTTTTATTATGTTATTTTTTGAGTTACAATTGAGAGACTTGGTCATTAGAAAAAGAGCATGTGTTTTAAAAATAAAGTCTTCTCAAAATTATAATACAAGAGAATTTCTGTTTGTCAAATGCTATTTTCTCTTTCAAGAAAATGTAAAAGACGCAGTTTAAAATTAAAATTTTCTTCCGCGTATATTATTTTTCACGGAGAAGATTATTTATCTTTTTTTTTTAAATTGAATAATTAAAAAAAAATTATTTAATTTAATCTTTTTAACAAAATCGCGTAAAAGAATTGATTTTTGTGCTACATTAATCGCGATTGAGTCACGCGAAATGATAAATTAAATATGTAAAAAGGCACGTTACGTTACAATGAAAATGTGCAAATGCCTAAAACAAGCGTTGCACGAGAGGATTAATTATCTGCCGAGCATATCGGCGGCATTCTTTCACCCACTTTATGACGAAAGCCTATTGACCAACGTGTATCGTGCAACCTTCAACGAGCTGCGATGCTCGTGAAGCCTGATGGGAAATAGCGTGAAACGCTCTTGTAATAATTCCAGACCACTGCGACAATTTCCCTGATTCCCGTGGGTGGACTTTCCTCGTCACACGAGTGACGTTCAGACGCCAATCGTTGCAAACAATCGCTCCTTGTTGACGTCGATTGACGTTTACGTTCGAGTCAGATAAGCTTTTGGAGGAAGAATTTTCGAGCCACTTGAAGTGTTTATTTGATTTGATTTAGAAACTCGTCGGAATCTAAATTTTGCACTGAGATAATTTTGTCATCCAATATAAAAACTGACGTGTTTATTATTTTTTTTTCATCACTCTTCTTTTCTTTCTTAAAATATTTTAAGGATGATTAACTTCCGTCTGTGTCTCTCTGTAATAATTGAAATAAAAATCCCAGCAAACACCAAGTAACATTTATATAACTGTTATTTAGTGTTTGCTGAGGTAACTTCATTATAATTTTCTTTCGCAAAATTAATTATTCCATTTTAGAATATGTGAAATGCAAACATTATTTCACAAATCTATAATACAGGCTTGTTCTAGTTATTTCCGAGAATTTATGGCGCATTTTATCATTCACGACAATTTGCGACGTATTATTGCGACACTCGCGTGTTTCAACCCACTTTGCAGGGAGGCGTTGAAGACGTCCATAATAAAGTGCCTTTGCGTAGACACACTCCCTAGTAACAACCCTGCGCCCACCGACATCGATTTCTCATGTCAATAAATCCACGTGCGAAATCGCTGGAAAAGCGAGCGAGAGAGATAACGGGATGCTCTTGCATCCAATATCTAAAAGAGCCCACGTTATCATGGTATGGTCCACTAACATGCAGCATCATTCAATCGAGGTTGCTTTTCTTACCATTCGTCCGGTTCTTTCCGATATTCTTTTTTTTTTTTAATGAAACATTTTTTTTCGCAGCAAAAAGATTGAAAATTTAATAAAATAAAAAAAAAAGGAAATATAATAATATAAGAAAAAAGAAAGATAATAAAAAAATTATTCCTCATAATCATTTTGATAAGTCGAATATATAATATTTTTATAATATTCGTTTATATAAATAATAAAAAAATATTGAAAAATGTATATATAATTTTTCGTTAAATATTAAGTACATTAAAATATTAATTTTTTATTTAACCAAGTATGATACCAGAAACGTCGACTCTTTTTCGCGGAATATTTTCGAATTTTTACTCGCGCTATGTTAATACTATGCATATTGATAACCGATGAAATATAAATTGGATAGCAAGCCATAAATGAAACGTTGCGCAAGTAATGGAGGATTAATAATACGATTAATTATTACTTAATGATATTTACGAAACGGTTTTAGCATTTCCAATTACCTTCCCTAAGGACAGTTTTTCTAGATCTACAACTAAATTATTTAAACGCATTAAATCAATAAAAATAAAAAAGGGGAAGCCATTAGAAATTATACCCTGACAAATTAGAAAATGAGGCAAATGAAGAAAAAGCGTATTCAAATAACTACTTTTCGAGTTTGCCTGAATATATTTACACGTTATATTTTTGCGACGAAACATAAAAGCGCGTAATTAGAAAAATATTTAAATAAGAAAAATATTTAAAGAAATGTAAATCTGAGAATATATTCCAAAAATTAATTTTAATTATTAAGCTTAATTTTAATTATTAAGAGAAAAAAAATTAGATTCAAAAATCTCCTGTAAAAATAACTGACAGAATAATGATTTGAATTATGATTTTATTTCATCTTCTCAGAATACCGAACAAGTAACACTGTATATATAAATTCACCAAGTATGTGTAAAAGTCGATAACCACTAGACATTTCCATGAATACAATACAACTGTGCAGAGAGCTATAGATAAAGCTATATGTTATTGCTACTTATACGTAACCAACATGGTAGCTATTCGTGCGTGTATTGGCTCTCCTTCGTCGAGTGCATTGTGTAGATAAATATATATGTGTATATATATATATATATATATATATACACATATATATTTATCTACACAATGCATTCGACGAAGGAGAATAATAATAACGAGGATCTAAAGAAGAAGTTCATCCTTAATTTTAAAAAAATTATTTATTACTTAATCTTCTTTTACGATTTATATTTTAACTGATAAAGATGTCAGTTTTACAAATTAATGCCATCTGTGTTAATAAGATAAAAATGAGTACAATATTAAAGATATATATATATATATATATATATATATATATATATATATATGTGTACACAGATATACATACGAGAGGATGGTTTTGCTGTCGATGCATCCCTTATAAAGCACGTTGATTTTCAGCCTCAAATCCCTCATCTACACTTCACCCTTTTGACTCTACTCCAGTTCCGACCCTAAAATAAGTCTTCAGTCTTGATCCTACTCGGGACGTTGACCCATGTTTAAATAGGCATCTCTCTCTTACAATAAAAATTTATATTAACGAAGCATAGAATATATTATTCCATTTTTTTTGCGATACATGACATATATTTTATTTTTGATAGAAATTATATTTTATTTTTGATAGAAATTATATTTTATTTTTGATAGAAATATTT